TGCTGTCTGCTCATTGTCCTGCCTGCTGCCCTTTATAGCTCTGTCCTTCCGTGTCTCTGGCCATACACATGAAATCCAGGCATCCTTTTAATTCTCACCTGTGCAAGTGTTACTTTATAGCAAAGTCTCGGTGACTAGGAATAGTATGACTTGCTGCTGGCGGGCTGGTGAATTCAAAGGGATGTGGCTTTAGTGCTTATCAGGAGCCCTTTGGCTCCAAATATCTGAGTGTCTTGAGGGAGAAACAAGCAGGTCCTACAAGTGGGTGTTTTCTGTGTATTAATTTCTCTCCTTTGTGGTATCTTCTATCCTATTTTTAAAAATGAATGATGGGGAACCAGGTTAGGACCTGTGCCAGCATCCCAGGGAGGTTCACCTGGCTCCAAGTTCATCTGGTCTGGGGTTGGGAAAGGGTTTGAAGTTTGAACTAGCCCTGCTCAGTGAGGTTTAGTTTTATTTTTACTCATAGGAGATGCACAGGTTGGTGGTATGATTGAAACTTGCAACAGGCAGGCATATTGAAGAGTTGAGTGATCACACTGGAGGTGAGGGTGGACATGGATTCACTGGGAAAGGGCCTGGGTCCATTGGAGTAAAGATAACCTGATTAATTGGCCATGGGGGATTAGGTCACAGTCTTAAAAGCGAAGTAAATAGGGCAGAGGCCAAGTTTTAGGGAGGCTTCTTGGCCTCCTAGGGCTAAGTTTACTAAACCACATTGAAGCTACAATACTTTCCAGATGGGAAAAAGTGTACACTACAGTTGAAGAGCTGAACTGTGCTAAGTTGGATGTTGACCAGGAACCTATTAGCCCTTTGCTGGGAAGCCTTCGCCCTCCAAGCTTCCCTGGAGTAAGAAAGGCCTTCCACATTATGCAATAATAAAATAAGCACCTGGGTCTCTGCAGCTGTCAGTGGCTCTTTCAACTCTAGGATCATTCTTTGGACCAGAAGCCTGGTCTGGGCCTAAGATAACACTGGCCCCCAAGATGCTAGCGTTGACTGCACTCTCTCCTTACCTGCAGACTATGCACAGTGCCTGGGGCGGAAGGAAGAGAGGTGGTGTGGTTTGCCCTGCTGAACCTCCCCAGCAGGAACAGTAGTAATAAATGCACTTTTCACACTAAAGTTTCTTTAATAGTTCTGTTAAGCCTAGATTCTCCCTCTGTAGGTTGCAAATTCAAAAGTCTGTGTGGTCCCAAAGCCATTCTAACTGCAAATGCTCAGCAGTGAAGGTGGCCTCAAATTGGGTTCCTGTCTGCAGTGTGTGTGGCAGCAGCCCATGTGCCTTTACCTATTGTCAAACTTGCAAGCATTTATTTCTGTCATGGGGACTGAGGTTCATCAGAGAGAGAGAGCACGAGTGTGAGCTGATGACACAGTGGTTTTACACCCACTCCCTGGACAGGGAGTTTGCACGTAGTTGTGAGCTGAGTGGTTAGTGCATTGCTGGTATTGCTGAAGGCAGAGTTCATCCCTCATTTGTTTGATACTCACATTTGAGAGAATCTTGTGTTGGGGGGGAAACCGACTGTTCTTGTGGCAAACTTGAAGTATTAAAAATAAGGCTGTCCCCTACAACCTTCCTAGTCAAATACAGGATCCCTGTAGCCAAAATTATATGTTCCAGCTGCAGAGAGCAAACTGCTCTCAGCTTGCACAGCACCTTAGGGGAGGGAAGAATATATGAATATGGAATGGGGTGGAGAAAGGATGGGAATGTCATTCAATTGGCTTTAGGGTCCCAAGGAATAGAGAAGGTCGGCACTGGGGAGGTCTGGGTGGATCTGATTGGTGTAGGAGTTCCCTGTAGATAAATTACTGACCCCCAACTACCATCCCCAGTATGTAATGGCTGAATTAATATGTAATCAACCGCATTGTATCTAAAGCCTTAGAACTAGTCAGGTGCTCCCCCCACCCATACCATTTCTTACCCTCTAATCCTACCTGATCTTTAACAAAGCATTAATAATTCTAAGGATAATCTCTATTTTGTTGTGCTTTTTTGTAACTGTTTTAAATAAATCAATTTGTACTGTATATTTGTACTTTTGTGAGATCCTTTTTGCTGTTTTACCATTTTAAGTCTCTGTACTTGGCTACACACAGATTGTATTTTTATTGTTAATGCTCTTCTTATGGATACCTGCATTTAACTTGTGGACTATGTAAACACAATATATATCAATATCTATATATCTATATATCTATCTATATAAACTACTAGCTTTTCCTTTTGGTGTTTGCGCCTTTTTCCTATCCTAGCATTAGATGATGGCCATTGGGTGGGGGGATAGAAACCCTTCGTGGGAGAGCTTGTAATAGACAGCAAATGGTGCCCATTTTCATGCGGTGGACTCTGGGCAGATTATGTGAGCTGGTGCTGAAGCATTTTGTTGCTGTGTATGTCAGAGACCCAGAAGTCTACTTATAGACTTAGATACTACCACAGTCGGTCAAAAGGACCTGTAAAAGTCTCTCCTCAGGAATACTGCCAGAAATTGCTGGAATAAGCCAGTTGCAATGATAGTTACTGCTTCTTAGAAAGCTTGCCACTGGTAGAGGTGAAACACTGGGATACAAGATAGTGACTCAGATACACTTATTGAGTACTTACTATGTGCCACAAACTATCCTAAGTGCATTATATATTAATAATCATTTATTGCTAGTATTGTTATTTCCAATTTATGGGTGGGGAAACCAAGAAAGAGGTCAAGTAACTTACCTGAAGTTACACAGCTATTAAATAGCAGTGCAGAATTTTAAATCCAGGCATCTAACTCTTGAGTCTATTATAGTTCTGAAAATTAAATGAGATAATCCATGTAAAATGCTCAGAATAATCTTTGACATAGTGAATACACAACCATTTTGAAGGATCCCAAGTAGGCCTTCAATAAGGAGCTCTGAGAAAAAGGCATTTGGTTCAATTACTTTCTTTTAAATGTCCAGTACATCATAATAAGCTTATTGAAATTCTTGTACTTTTCAGAACAGAAATATTTCAACCTGCCTGGAAAGACTTAACCCTAGTTCGGTGGTTGGGGGTGTTGGGTCAGTTAACATGATTAAATAGCCTTGAACCTATGGAGGTCAGAGAAGCGTCCAAGTTTCCTTGTGATGATATTGGAAGAGGTCCACATTCCTGGCATAGTTATTTTTCTGGCTACAAGTTAACTAGGGCACTTCCTTCTGGACCTCAAGATCTATAATTATCTAAACTGTACACAACCTTTGTTGCAGGCTAAGGAAAGTTCTGTGCTTGTTCCGTACCATCACAGAAGCTTTTTAGAAATGACCTCAGCTCTTGTCTCCTCCACGGTTTGGCAACCATACCAACTGCCAGAGTAGTCATTTTGCTCTAGCCCTGACCCACTATTGACTTGAATTCTCATATCACCTTAATTCTGCATTATCCTACAATGGCTCTGGGAAATGATTAAAATGATGAATTACCTCTTCTCTCAAACATGAGTTTCTTGGTGCTATGGACCTTAATATTGCAGCTATTTATATTAACATATTCCTAAGTGCAGCTGTCTGCTCTCTGGGATGGGGTTTTAAAAGTTTGACAAACTGCCCTAGCCAGCTTGGCTCAGTGGATAGAGCATCAGCCTGTGGACTGAAGGGTCCCAGGTTCGATTCCGGCCAAGGGCACATGCCTGGGTTGCGGGCTCGATCCCCAGTAGGGGGTGTGCAGGAGGCAGCCGATCAATGATTCTCTCTCATCATTGATGTTTCTATCTCTCTCTCTCCTTCTCCCTTCCTCTCTGAAATCAATAAAGAAATATATTAAAAAAATAAAATAAAAGTTTGACAAACTGGCTCAGTTGGTTGGGTGTCATCCGTGCACCGAGAGGTCACCAGTTCCATTCCCAGTCGGCATATGCCTGAATTGCAGGCTTGATGATTCCCCAGCAGTGGGCATGCAGGAGACAGCTGATCAATATCTCTCTCTCTCTCTCTCTCTCTCTCTCTCTCTCTCTCTCTCTCTCTCTCTCTCTCTCTCTCTCTCTCCCTCCCTAAAAATAAATAAAAAGATATTGAGGAAAAAAGTTTGACAAACTGAATTCTGCTGGGAAAAATAGCCAGCACCTAGTCTAAATACCATATTCTCTTTAGAAAATGCCAGTTATGCCCCCTACTAGTGGGTGCCACAGAGTTTTGCCACGACAGCCACCTCCTACACACACACTCCATGCCCTGTCCACCGTGGGCCTGGGGCCTGAGGCCATTGCTGCATACCGAACCCAATTTGCTCTATGTGTGTAAATTCACAGAGAAGCATGAATGGATAACAATAGAAAATTATATTGGAACAGTGGGATTAGCAATTTTGCACAGAAAGTTTTGGAGATGTTTACTATAGTCTGCCTGAAATTGGGACAAAATTGAACAAGTTGCTTTGGAAAGTGTGAAAGCTGCTAGTGAACTCTATTCTCCTCTATAAGGAGAAATAACTGAAATTGATGAAGCTCTTGCAGAAAGTCCAGGACCTGTCAACAGATCTTGTTATGAAGATGATTGGCTGATCAAGATGACACTCAGTAACACTTCAGAACTACATGAACTATGAAGAAGCATATGAGAAATATACAAAATCTACTGAGGAGTGAAAATGGAACCCTCTGAATAAAGAACTATGAAACCACTTTTTAAAAAATGAAAATGCCAGTTATGAAGAAAGGCATCTACTACCAAGTTTGGAAAAGGTAAGTTAGGTTTTAATAGTCCTTCAGACTGTTAATTACCTTCTTTAGGGTTGTGGGACTGGACCCTCACAAAGTCAGCATCCGTTCTTCAATGTCATAGTTATGTCTCATCAACTTGTAACGGCCCAAATACCCAGGGATCTTTGCTTGGAGAGCCTAAGTTGAGGCGTACCCTCCCTCAGAAAAGAACCACTGCCAGAAGTCTGCCTGAAAACTTCCACCCAGGTCTCTCCCAGATCACTTCATTTGCTAGAATGAAACTGAGAGAAGAGCAGGAAATGACCAATAAAGATAAAATTAATTTATTTGCCCTTACAACTCCATGGGCCACCTGGGGCCCCACAGTCCTACAGCATGCCCTGCAGCAGTGGGCTGGGGAGCCCAGTTCTGTGGAGTGCCTGCTCCCTTGTCCAGCCTTGAGTTGGTTTCCTGCTGACCCCATCATCCTGCTCCGACATGCAAGGAGTGCACAGGTCCATCTGCAACAAACCAGGGCCTGCCTCTGGCAGTAAGGACAGGGCCCTGTGGGTGGCTGCAGCACTGGTCCCTGTGGGCTTGGGTGGGCGGGTGAGCAGGAGGGCAGGCAGGAAGGTGTTTGTGGTTCAGTGCAGAGAGCTGCTATTCTGCTCCTCAAAGGCCATCTTGCCCAGGAGCTGGCTGTCCAACTCTACCCCACTCACAGGTAGCTGGAAGAAGTTCATTTCGGCTGCTAAAGCTGCCATGGCAGAAGGGTCCTGGCCAAACTGAGCTCGCAACATCATGTCCATCTTCTCCAGCCTCCTCTTGAGCCGCTTGGCCTCCCGCTCCCGAATGAGCCGGGCCTGCCGCTTCTCCGGGGTTTCATTGGCCCGCTTGAGCCTCATGGCCTCCCGATCCCGCTGCAGCCGGCGTGCCCGCTGCTCATCTGTCTCCTGCATGCGCTGCAGGCGCTTGGCCTCGCGGTCCCTCATGCGCCTTACCTCCCGCTCCTCGGGGGTCTCATTGTCCCGCCGGCTCTTCTTGGCTGTGCGCTCTCGTTCCAGCCGCTGCAACCTTACTTCCAAAGGCTCGTTCTGTCGACGGAGGGCCCACTTGCGTACGCTGGGGGTCTGGGCTTCCAGTAGCTTACGGTAGGCAGCACAGTTGTTGCACACAAGCAGAATTCCAGCGGGGTAAACTGGAGGACTAAAGGCAATGTCCTTCCCCTCGGCACTGGAGGGGCCCTCACTGTGGGCTGGGGGTAGGGATTCCATATTAAGTACTTCAGGAAGTTTCTCACTGGGAAGCAAAAATTTTGGATGTTTAGTGTCACCTTCTAACAAGGCTCTGGTATTCAATTCTGACTTATTCTTGTCCTATAACACCAGTTGCTCCAATTTCACCACTAGGGGTCAGTTTGACTTCCTCTCCACCCCTGCTCTCCTTTGGGCTAGGCCCTAGGGCAGGGGTGGGCAAACTTTTTGACTCGAGGGCCACAATGGGTTCTTAAACTGGACCGGAGGGCCGGAACAAAAGCATGGATGGAGTGTTTGTGTGAACTAATATAAATTCAAAGTAAACATCATTACATAAAAAGGTACGGTCTTTTATTTCAATAGTTTTACTCATTTCAAACAGGCCGATCCGGCCCGCGGGCAGTAGTTTGCCCACGGCTGTCCTAGGGTGTGCACCAAGTTTTAAAGCCCACCTGGAGTTAGAGACTGAACCAAAGGCCACAGCAAGTCACTAAAAATCAGACAAACCCTTAAAACGAGCCCTTTCTGTTCAAGCCAGAATGGTGGTGTTTGGTAGACGCTGTGCAGAGCAGTCCTGTGGTGGGAGGCAGTCCTTGAGGTAGAGGCTGCCTTCAGGGCAGGTACAGTCCACTGGCTCAAGCGCCTGCCTGGCCAGTTCTGCATTGCTTGCTAGCAAATGGGACTAGGACACAATTCACACTGTTCCAGGCGGCCTGGGATACAGTAGAGACATGTCCCCACATCAGGGTCCTTTCAGCACCCTGTAACTGTTCTCCATACTTTATCATGAATATTCTTAGACTTCCCCACATCTCTTTCTAGATGAAAATACTACACTGACAGGGAAAAGAAATAGGGATTCATTTCCCTTTGGCGATAGCTAATGGAAGGGGCATATTTACTGGTCTCATTACTTGTATTTCCGAAGAGTTTAAGGATCAATTAGTTGCCTTTTCATTACTGATCTCTAGCCTTTCCTTTGACTTGGGAAAGCAGCATCCACACCCAGTAATCTGTTCCCAACACAAGGGGCTAGGTGCCCAGCTAACCTGTTAAACGTGGCGTGGCTGGTGAAACGGGCTCCACACACAGCACAGTTAGACCGCTGGTCCTCCGAGTGGATGAGGAGGTGGCGACCCAATGACCCTGGGGAGCTAAGGGCCCGGCCACAGACAGGACACATATAGCTCTTGGCACTCACAACTGCTGCAGTGTGCTGCAAAACAAGCCTCATCGGTCACCTCACGCCACCTCCAAGACAATCTACACCCATTTAGAAACTACTTTGGGGGAAACGTCCCCTTTCTTTAGTCTCAGAATAAGGGACTTGCAACTATTTTCCCTCTTTAGCACCTGAAAAATTAAAACTTTCTTGTGTTAATGGGCTTTCAGAAGGGCCAGGCCATTCAGACCACTGCTTCCATTTCATTAGTTTGAATTCTACTACTTATTGAATTGCAATTGCCTACTTATTGAATACAGTTCAATAAGTAGGCAATTAATTAAGATTGTTGATTACATTCTGGGATGTGTGGCTGAACTAAGGAACAATGGGCTCCAGAGCTGTCTTCCAAGTCTGAGAGAATTCATGATTGGGGTAATTTCTCTCTGAATGCTTGCCTCACATTGTGCAGGTCCAAGTCCAAGTGAAGGGATCAATGAAGGCCAGACCAGAAGCTAACTGGGAAGACTGGTACTCGAAAGGTACAAGTGCCCTGCCTTTCCTTTAATCTTTTAAAGACAGACAGTCTTTTGAAGAAATGTGTCTCCTCATAAACTATCTGTCTTTACACTATAACCCAGGCTGCCATGTGTGCTGAAGCCTTTTCAATACGGCTCACAAGGCACAGGTGCTCTGCGAGTGGATCAGGGGGAAAAGAACACAAAAGTCTGTCTTGCCCGGCCGGAGTGGCTCCGTTGGCTGAGCATGGTCCTGTGCACTGAAGGGTTGCTGGTTCAATTCCTGGTCAGGGCACATGCCTGGTCTGGGCATTTGATCTCTGGTCAGGGAGCGTACAGAAGGCAACTGATTGATGTTTCTCTCTCTCTTCCTCTCCCTTCTTCTCTCTAAGCATATTCTCAGGTGAGGATTAAAAAAAAAGTTTGTCTTATTCTCATCTCCTTACTTACACTAACTTTCTCCAGTATTTCAGAAACATTTATGTTAACTCATCTTTTCTTTAAAACAGAGCCCTCATTATTAATAGGTGTTAGTTTTTATTTCACTGTTTAAAATATGCATTAAGTAATTTTTTAAAATGGAACTTCATTTTCATAGTATGTCTGCCTGGGAACCCCAGGACATATTTACCCAGCATATTCCACTTATTCTCCAAAATGTTCTGAGGACTGGAGTGAGTCTGAATGAGAACAACAACCCAAGGTTCCTTTGGGAGCTGGAGACAAAGGCTAAACAAGCTGCTGGCCCTCGAGTTCCAGAGCACGCAGCTCCCCACGCCATACCTGGTACACGTGAGCAATCAGCTGCTCCCGACTCCCACAGTCTAGTTGGCAGAGGGGACACTGGCAGAGTCCAAGTAAGGGGTCGGTATTCAAATTCTCTGTGACCTGCAATTCAATAAGCAGACAATTCATTAAGACTGCTGACCAGTCTCTTCCCTGCCCTTACTTCTTTTACAGGGTATCCTGTTATAAAAAATAAACCTGATATCATGTATTATTCTCAGGTTTCCCTATGGACCAAAGGAAAAACTACTAGGGAGATGGGAGTTAAACTTGCACTTATCTTTATTTTCTCCAGGGTTTCCTGCCATGAGGGCATAGGCCTGCCCCAGAGAGAGCTTAGCTATTGTTTTCCCCAAGGTAAACTGTAGAGAAAGGATTAGCTTTCCTCTTGCCATGCTTCTTGCAGCAATCTTCAGGAAACAATTTAGTGAGGTAACACTTTGACTTAAATTTGCAAATATAGTCAAGAGCACACCTCAGGAAGTCAGTAGTTTTGTAAAGGTGGATATTCTGTCTGGAAAGAGAGCTGTACATGGTGGAGTGATATGTCGGTGGAAAAGGAAAGCAGGTGTGATAAGAATTGTGTCTGAGGTTTGGATAACTGGCGCTGTGAAGGAAGAGGGGCTTCATATGAAGGCCCAGAAGACTGTTAGAGGCAAGACTGTTATATATGGACGAGAGGCATCAGGCCAAACAGAAGAGTAAGGGAACTCCCAAACTCAGGAGCCATTGTCACTTGCCTCATGCTCTACCACTTCGTTCCCACCAACAGGCTGCTCTGCATTTTCTAACTCTTTTTCCACTTTGACCACCCCTCCATCTTCCTCAGATGTGTGGGAAGAGACTTCATCTTGTGTGGTCTCCTCTTCATCACCCTCACTGTCACCTGGAACACACAAACTTGTCACTTGTTCTGATTTTTGCAATGAATACATCTTGAGTTGCTTTCCACCCTAGAGTTTGCAGTTATAATGAAAAACATTTTTAGATCTTCCATAATATAGTTTGTATCAGTGCTTAGTTGGGTACAAATCATGTTAAGTGGAAACCAGTTATAGCTGTTGTTTATAATGCCATATACACACTAAAGAGAAAATCTGAGGCAAAACTGCACTGGGAAATGCTTATTGGGCCTTACACAATATCATAAAAATAGTTACTTCTTACACGTTTCCCAAATATCTCATACTTCAAATCACACCTCCTTCATACCTCACACCATGCTCATTCCCACAACATACCACCTCTGATTTACCAACACTTCACACCGATTTTATTACCTTACTTTTCTGCATAACCCCCCATCCCTCGCACAATTTCTCCATGGTGTCACATATACTACTCTATTCTGAGTCCCGCTAATCTGTCCTCTCCCAACAAGCCCCAAGGCACACTTAAATAAACACCAACAAGTTTTTCTTTCCTCTAATCAATAAAGGAGGCAGTAGTAAATTAGGTTAAAATGATGTCACTTTATGGGGCATAGGGAACAGGCTGTTCATACAGTGGAAGATTAGTGCAGCAAACAACCTCAGGCAGTTTGTAGTGGTATTTGACTGTGTCCTTATTACTCTGCTAGTAACTCAGCATGCTAGGCTAAATAAATCCATTGTTTCATTGGTTCTTTGGATGATCTGGTGGATGCATTAAGTAGAGGTTACTCTTTACTTTAGAATGAAATATAATTTATTGTGACTAAAGTAAGAATTCAATGTTTTAGTTTAGAGAGCAGGATGTGGCTGTGGGGAGGTCAAGGTTTGTGGGAGCTGAATTTCTGCCCTATTATTTATAAAATAGGGAGAATTTTTTTTTGGAAAAAGAAACCCACAATTACAAAGGGAGTTCTTTCTGAAAGAAAAAAAAGTGCTAGTACTTTGAAGATCACAAGTGGAAGCCAAGTCTAGGGAAGCTACCATACTCCAGCCCCAACCTCACCTGGCTCCTGGACCCCTGGTCTGATTGCAAGCAAGAGAGAAATACAGAGTAGAGAGTTTCACCAGTCTCTCTGCATGGGCAGTGAGATTCAGCTTTCCCAGCTAACAGTTCTATTGTCTTCTCTCTTCTATCCCTTGCACATCTTCAAAATCCACCAGTATCTGGGCAAAACTGGTCCTATTCTCTTTCTTCTTAAGAAAATCCAACCAAGCCCTGACCAGTTTTGCTCAGTGGCTAGAGCATTGGCCTGTGGACTGAAGAGTCCCAGGTTCGATTACAGTCAAGGGCATGTACCTTGGTTGCAGGCACATCCCCAGTAGGGGGTGTGTAGGAGGCAGCTGATGGATGTTTCTCTCTCATGGATGTTTCTAACTCTCTATCCCTCTCCCTTCCTCTCTGTGAAAAATCAATAAAATATATATATAAAAAAAAGAAAATCCAACCAACTCATCTGTTAGTTATGTGTGTCTCTGTTAGAAACTCCACTTGGTTGGTATACTGGATCTGGCCTTATTCCCGAGCCCAAAGCTTTAGTTTGAATTCATCTCAATAATGAAGGATTGGCACAGATTAAATCATACCATTCTTTCTCAACAGCTTATCTGGAATACTGGTAAGCTTAGTCTAAGATAACATTGCATCAAACACATTTTTGTAATTTATCAAAAATCCAAATATATCTCTCTACTAGAAAGATTAAAAAAAAAAAAAGTATGCTATCCAGAGGGATGCTGCATCTTTTCCAGGATGGAAACCTATTAGACTTTTATAGATGTTGCCATTCCTGCCTATTACTCAAACGGATGGCTCCCACAGGTTTTCTATAAGTATTTGGGTTTATTTTTCTCTACCTGAGCAATTAATTGCTAAATATTTTTTTTTAATTAACAGTTTGGATGGAAACTGTAGTTCTTTTTTTTTTTTTTTAAATATATTTTATTGATTTTTTACAGAGAGGAAGGGAGAGAGTTAGAAACATCGATGAGAGAGAAACATCGATCAGCTGCCTCCTGCACATCTCCCACTGGGGATGTGCCCGCAACCCAGGTACATGCCCTTGACCGGAATCGAACCCGGGACCCCCCAGTCCGCAGGCCGACGCTCCATCCACTGAGCCAAACCGGTTTCAGCGAAACTGTAGTTCTTAGAAGGTTGCAGAACTCTCTCCCTCTTTGTTCTTCCCCAACCCCAAATGGGGAGAAAAATCTGAAATCCCTCTCTGAATTAACACTAATAATAACCAGTATGGATGTAATTAGTAAAGTGTGGAAATCATCATAGAAAATAACACATCTCAAAGTGTATGTGTTCAGGCAGGTCATGGAACAGGCGATCCACAAGACTCAACTAGATACCAGCCACTGTCTTTTCCATCTTTTAACCACAGGGATCTACTTAGGCCTTGGTGTGGGAAGGGAGGCCTTGACATTAGCATTTTATATGATGCATATTCTCATTAATTCGCAATATCTCTTGTATAACATTAACACGAGGCCCTCAAGCAAAAATTTCCACTAATGCCACTCTTACATTTTATTAATTATGAACAAATAGATCCAAAAGGAGACAGGGATTTTTTTCTCTTCACTTGACCTAACCCAGGGGCTGCTTGGGCACTAATTATTCCTATGCCCTGTCTCTCACAATCATCAAAACCTATCTGTTATGGTACTGTGCCAAGTACTGCAGTCCATGAGTTAAAAAAACAAACCAACTATCATGCCAAACCTGTTCTCGCTCTCTGGATAAGAATATGCCCACAGACCTTAGAACACCTTTGGGAACACTGAGGATCCACAAATCTCCTTCTTCATGTCTTCCTCCCAACCCCATGCACAATCCCCAGAGCACACACACTCTGATAATTCTTCTCCCATTGCCCTGAGTCATTACCAGAAGGTGCAGAACTCACTGCTACTGGAGTCCTGATCTCTTAGTTGTTGGATAGCTTGTCGTTGACCGTCAAGGTCTCCAGGAAAATCAGTTTTCATCATCGCCTGGCGGGCTTGCTCTTCTAGCCCAGCAAATACTTGATCCCCTGGTGGTCACAAGGAAAAATAGTCAGGCCACCAGCTGGGCAGCACATCCCCAGGCAAGCAAGTTGGAAAGTCAGACCATTCAAAGGTAGAAGACAGGCAGGTACCCTGTGGTGGAGTCATCCATTTCCAAGTCAGCTTGTTGCCTACAACTGTTTCTGGGCTCAGCTACTCCTCCTGGTAAGCAAGATGCTCTAGAAAGCATCATATGCTTCCCTTAAATTGTCCTAATCTTTACTCCTTTTTAAAAAGTGATCAATTGCTACTTTATAAATTTAGCTTTAGAATCTCAATCCCATTTACAACCTTCCATCAGGATTGGGGAGACAGAGGCAGGAAGAGATAAAGGAATAGGATAAAGATATAGCAACAAATATGGGCACAATCTGTGAATTTTAAGGTATTAGCATTATGCCATGAGTTAATGTCTATCTCTGACTATAAACCAGTGCTTCCAATAATCCATCTAGATAATAGTATATTATCCCGTCTTTCATTCACTCTCCTTAAGACATGCTCTGGAAGTTCTTCCTTGACTTCCTTTCTAATGCCTATCAGAATTATCCATAAGCAAATCAACAATGAGGTGAATAATAAATTAAAACAGTGGTTCTCCTCCCTCTCTCCCTTCCCGGAGGACATAACAAAAACATTTTTGCCGCCCGGGAGCGGAAACCTAAATGAGGCAGTACTCACAGATCGGATCGTCTCATCTTTTCTCTTTCTCTCTCTCTCTCTCTCGTTGAAATTATTGGGGAGACACCGGTTCATAAAACCATACAGGTTTTAAAATAAAATAATGAATAAATCAGATATGAAAAAGACAAACAAAAAAACCCAAACAAACAGTGGTTCTCAACCTTCTGGCCCTTTAAATACAGTTCCTCATGTTGTGACCCAACCATAAAATTATTTTCGTTGCTACTTCATAACTGTAATGTTGCTACTGTTATGAATTGTAATGTAACTATCTGATATGCAGGATGGTCTTAGGCGACCCCTGTGAAAGGGTCGTTTGACCGCCAAAGGGGTTGTGACCCACAGGTTGAGAACTGCTGGATTAAAAGAACATTCTTCTGCTGAAGAACACACTTCCTGAAACATGCCATCTAATTTGCAACAAATATTTCATCTGGTGTCGTTGGTCTTTTGTTTGTTTGTTTGTTTGTATGGAATATCCAAAAGCCCTAGACCTGTCCTTGATTATACATTTACTTCTGATGAACTCTGCCTGGGATCTGTGTGGTCACTAAAGAGTTAACATTTAAGTGTTCTTTTATTTCCAAGAGGCCAGGCATAAGGAGAAAAGAGAATTGGGTTTCTCGAGGTTTCCATTATCTCAGTCAGAGTGGAAACTACAGTCCCCATTCTCCAGCTACCAAGAGAGAATAATAAAAGCCCTAGTGAAATGCTTGACAATAGACCAATAGCGCTTTCTTACTGAGGAGAGAAAGGGGAGTAAATAGGCTCAAGTTCCAAAGCAGGAGACAATGATGTAGGAAAATGAACAGGTTAGTTGATCTGCACTACTAGTCCTCAGGCAATGAAAGAATGGATGTGAAGTAGACTTCATGGGATTACTTAGGCATTCATTCAGCAAATATTCATTGAGAGTTTACTATATGCTAAGTGCTGAACACCAATAATAGCTCCAGATTCTATGTTAAATGCTTTATAGTTGTTACCTTACCTTAATTCTCTGCTAAGTTCTATGTGGTAGGTATAACTACCCACATTTTACTTAGGAGAAAACGAAGGTCTGTGGTGGAAATAAGTATTCAAACCTAGGTCTGCCCAATTTTACTCTCCATGTTGTTTGTTTTTCTTAAAATATATTTTATTGATTTTTTACAGAGAGGAAGGGAGAGGGATAGAGAGGTAGAAACATCGATCAGCTGCTTCCTGGGCACATCCCCAGTCCTGCACACCTCCTACTGGGGATGTGCCCGCAACTAAGGTACATGCCCTTGACCGGAATTGAACCTGGGACCTTTCAATCTGCAGGCCGATGCTCTATCCACTGAGCCAAACCGGTTAGGCCTACTCTCCATTGTTTTTAAACTGCTTTCTAGTAGTGATGTAAGCAGAAGGCTAGGCGCTTTATCAGAGTGGTTTTGCTGAAAACAAATGCTGTCTCTGAGAAGAATGGCTCCAATCCTAGTGGTACTGTTACTTCATATCATGAGAAACTGATAAATAGTACTCAAATATCAAAATAATGTTGTCAGGGCCGGTATATGACAACAGGAACCATCATTTTGATGGTTCTGATATGGTATTACCAGGCCTGGGTCAGAGTAACTAATATTATGGGTACTCTGACTGATACTGTGAATGGGAGTAGAGGTGGTTAGAGTTCAAATGTACTGCAACTACACAGCCCTTAAGTAAAGGAAAAATAAGCTGACACATGTATATAAATTACTGCTAGGGAAAGCAAAAATTGAATTCTGTGTTATAGTGTCTTCTCTTCTTCCTTTGCAGAAGTAAATATTTAATTTCTCCACGTTGGTCCACTGTAATCACAAGACCATGGCCAATTGGAATAGTTACTGAATTCTTCTGGGTAGATGCATGTTTTCGGACCTGGTGGCTATGGGCAGATATGGCACTATGGAACAAGTTATATACCAGCATATAATTAATTGTCAAGGGACAGATCATTCTCGTCAGTGATACTGCTCATCTCTAAAGAAACCTAGCCAGAAACTCGTTCTCTCCCTTCCTCTCTAACTAAAATCAGCTAGGTTTATAGCATATTTAGAAAATATACCTCACCCTCCTTTCTATTAGGAAATCACCATTGGATTAGTAAAAGGGCATCTAAAAGTATATGTACCTTTCAATAGCAGCTAGTATTTCAGTTTGGTCTCCAACTGGAGCTTAAAATTTATTTTTGTCTATTGATGTTTAAATATTTAGGCCTTCACAGAACCGAGAATGGTCTATTCCATATAACTTCCCTAGCTAGCACTTTTTGCTCGCCTAGGCAATCTTCCCTAGGACAGGTGGAATAAACTAACTGTCATTCCTTTTTGGCAGTTTGGAGAGAAAAGCTGTGCTCTTACATTTTATTCTGTTCCTGGCTTGAGAAAAAAGGCTAAGGTAAACTTTATTCCTATTTTAAACATCTACTAAAGCAAACTATATAAAAACAATAAAAAAGGACATGATTTTGGTAGACCTCATAGGGAAAGATGTGTGGATAATCTTCCAGTAGTCACTATTTATTTAATCCCTAAAGTCTGGCTGTCCAGAATTATCCTTTCACAAGAAAATAGTGATACTTGCTAAAAGTATGTCATAATTAAGTATAATGTGATTCATAGATACTAGTGATTAAGAAGTGTTATACAATTGCCTGCTTGTATAATGTAGAATCATTTCCTTCTATCTTGAAACTGTTGGAGTAGGTTAAAAATAATCCTGTAATCTCTAGATATTAATGTAGAGCAACGATCTTATTTAATATGGGTATTTATTTGTCTATTAATAGTTGAGAACAAGTCATCTATGCTCCCACAGTAAAAAGCAAAGTGCCACTTCTCCTGTTTTTAGTATAAAATCAAGATACTATTTAAGCCCTAGCCGGTTTGGCTCAGTGGGATAGAGTGTCGGTCTTTGGACTGAAGGGTCCCAGGTTCGATTCTGGTCAAGGGCACATGCCCGAATTGTGGGCTCAATCCCCAGTGAGGGGCATGCAGGAGGTAGCCAATCAATGATTCTCTCTCTTTCATTGATATTTCTATCTCCCTCTCCCTTCCTCTCTGAAATAAAATAGACAGATAGATACTATTTAATTTGGTTAAGATTTTTCAAACCAGATAAAATCAAGGCCATACAAGCAAGTTTGTGAAACAGATGAGAAGCTTGAGATGAAAGTTATTAGAAAGGCAAAGATTTTACAATTCTCTTTCTTGAGTCCTTGGTGCAGTTACATGCATGGATGGGCAAAAGTATGCTTACAGTTGTTTGTATGGAAAATAATAGAATAATTAATAAATAATAATATAAGAATAAACTGCCCCTGGTCAGGTAGCTCACTTGGTTGGAGCACTGTCCTGGTATGCCAAGGTTGCAGGTTCAGTAAGGGCACATACAAGAGTGAAACAATGAATGCATAAACAAGGAACGACAAATTGATGTTCCTCTCTCGTTCTCTCCCTTCCTCTCTAACTAAAATCAATTAAAAAAAAAAAAAAAAGAAGAAACTGTGTTTTGCATACTCATGCTTTAAACCTACTTTTGTCCACCCAGTAAATGTAGTTTCTGGCTGACTGAAATTAAGGATAGCAGCTGAAACATATCCTAACAGAGCAGATGTCAAACTCAGAAAAGAAGAGCTAGTATTGGGAGTGAGGAGCTTAGGATCCCATTTCTAGCTGACAGTCTCTGTAATCCAAGGTGCGATCACATGCTAAGAACATAACCATTTACTTCGCAGGGACACTGAATGAAAATAAAACAAGTTGCACTTTCTAGAAGAGAAGGGACTACAAAGGCATTTTTCCTACTTCTCTGTAAAAGCTGAAAAGCTTTTAATTAAAGTTGAAAGCTTTGCAATCTGAAAACAAAAACTCTTCAGAAAAAGTTTTTCTTTTCTTAGTGGTTTGTTTGGTATAAACACACCAAATGCGAGTATGCAAGGCACTCTAGTATTTTTAACCTCTCTAGAAACAGTTGACAAAAAGTTATACTCAGAAGGGGTGAGATGAGGAAGGAGGGAGGAAGGTCTAACAGATTTCAGCCCTTCAGCAGTTTCTCTGTGACTAACAATTCTGGGCTTTTATTCCAAAAGCTCTCATCAAGTCTATTAATGAGCTGGGTAAAACCCAAGAGTCTGCCTGAATATTTCTGAGATACAGAGCCAGTCCGGAGGAAAGCCAAGTAAATGTCAGAACAGCCTGCCCATTGCCTCTGAAGGGAATCGGATAAATGCTGCCAGCCTACAGCAGTGGGATTCTTAATAGATTCTTTTAGGTGGGCTTTGAGCTTCATGCCACACAATCTACTTCTTTCCAGAAGGCAGAGCTAATGGAGCTCAGCCATCACTCTGCCAGAGTGCTGACTGGCTTTGATACTGAAGCAGAGCTTCGGCAGCTTTCCTGCCTCCCGGACCTTGGGTCCATCCCATTTACTTTAAATAGACGAGCAGCATTAAATTCAATACATTTGATTGGTTCCATTTCACTGAAAGGGGACAGAAGACTCGAGTGGTCAGAAGACTGAAATTACCAATTTCTATTTGCCATTATTGTCATGAGAAGATGACTTTTCAAAACAGGTAGGATCAGCTTCAGTCCCCAAACAGTAAATAACCAGAAGGTCCCTTGGAGACCAGCCAATCCCACTGTCTTCTTCTTTGGTCAAGCTTAGTCCATCACCTGAGAAGCCCTCACCGAAAATAGCCCCTCCCTTGAGTCTGCTTTTTAGTGGCAGCTGAACATTTCTGTTCACAGCTCTCTTCATGGCACCACCAGAGAGTCTGCAAAGTCCCAACCACTCCACCACAATATAATGTTGCCTTGCTTTGGACACTGCGTTTCTGCAGCTGTAGACGTGTGATAGTCTCTCCTTGTCCATGACCTGATTGTCCATCTGTTTTCCAACTCTAACACCAGCTCGTCCTGGTTTGACTGGCTATGGTGGGAGGAGATGCAGCTGATGGGTATATGCCACGTGGACACGGGCATAGGCCACACAAGCCTTTACTGGCTCCCCTTGGCCTTACCACAATCATCCTATCATCCACCTCATCTTTCCTCAAATCTAACCAGGCTCTTTGGACAGGAGGTTTGTATAGGTAAACGCCCAACTCCTATGACTGCCTTATTTGTGAACCCATCATCTCTATTAAGAGTACCTTTCCTGCCCTGTCTTCTTGGGGTCACCTCTGTACCTTTTATTATTATTTATTAATTATTCTATTATTTCCCATACAAACAACTGTAAGCATACTTTTGCCCATCCATGCATGTAACTGCACCAAGGACTCAAGAAAGAGAATTGTAAAATCTTTGCCTTTCTAATAACTTTCATCTCAAGCTTCTCATTTGTTTCACAAACTTGCTTGTATGGCCTTGATTTTATCTGGTTTGAAAAATCTTAACCAAATTAAATAGTATCTATCTGTCTATCTATTTTATTTCAGAGAGGAAGGGAGAGGGAGATAGAAATATCAATGAAAGAGAGAGAATCATTGATTGGCTACCTCCTGCATGCCCCTCACTGGGGATTGAGCCCACAATTCGGGCATGTGCCCTTGACCAGAATCGAACCTGGGACCCTTCAGTCCAAAGACCGACACTCTATCCCACTGAGCCAAACCGGCTAGGGCTCAAATAATAATATAGGAATAAACTGCCCCTGGTCAGTTAGCCCCCTTGGTTGGAGCACTGTCCTGATATGCCAAGGTTGCAGGTTCAGTAAGGGCACATAAAGAGTGAAACAATGAATGCATAAACAAGGAACGACAAATTGATGTTCCTCTCTCGTTCTCTCCCTTCCTCTCTAACTAAAATCAATTAAAAAAAAAAAAAAGAAGAAGAAACTGTGTTTTGCATACTCATGCTTTAAATTTTTTTTTTTAATATATTTTAGTGATTTTTTACAGAGAGGAAGGGAGAGAGATAGAGCTAGAAACATCGATGGGAGAGAAACATCGATCAGCCACCTCCTGCACATCTCCCACTGGGGATGTGCCCACAACCCAGGTACATGCCCTTGACCGGAACCGAACCTGGGACCTTTCAGTCCGCAGGCCGACGCTCTATCCACTGAGCCAAACCGGTTTCGGCCATACTCATGCTTTAAACCTACTTTTGTCCACCCAGTAAATGTAGTTTCTGCTACCCTAATCTCATTATCTATAATATGTTGAAGTCCCCTTAATTCCTCTGCTTCTACTGTTTTCTCTCCTACTCTTGAAATTATCCAATAAGAGAAGGAAAGTACACAGTGCCTGGCATACAGTATCTTTTTAATAAATTTTGGTCCTCTTAACTCCTTGTCTATTCTATCTTCTCAAATGGATTTTTTTTCTTTAAAAAAATATTTCAGCCCTAACCAGTTTGGCTCAGTGGATAGAGCGTCGGCCTGCGGACTGAAAGGTCCCAGGTTCGATTCCGGTCAAGAGCATGTACCTTGGTTTCGGGTATATCCCTAGTAGGGGGTGTGCAGGAGGCAGCTGATCGATGCTTCTCTCTCATCGATGTTTCTAACTCTCTATCCCTCTCCCTTCCTCTCTGTAAAAAATCAATAAAATATATAAAAAAATATTTCATATATTATAACACTGAATTCTCTTCAAATGTTGCTGTACTTTATTTAGTCAATCCTCCATAATACAGAGCTATTTTTCTCTTTTATAAACATTTAGGTGAGAATACTTATCTCCCCAGATTATAGGAAACTGTCTAATTATCTCAGACCTACATAGATATATTATTATCAATTTGATAAGGTATTTTAAAGTATTTGAACAGTCTCTATGAGCAGTGCTAGAAGTTGAGAGGGATAGCAGGAAATATATATGCTCTCTAGAAGTTTACAATCCAATTACTGACATAAAACATACACTCAAAACTATTGAGAAATAATGCAAGGCAATAGTGCATACCTGGTCTTCCTGTTACCAGTCTCTCCCTCATATGATCCATCCCAAAACACTGCATTATAAATGTCACTCCACTCTCTCTACTTAAAATCCTTCAGTAGCTCCTTATTGTCTATGGAATGAAGTTTGAACCTGGCCTGGCCTTTAGGACTCTACAATGTAACTCGTGGCTGGCATGCAGCTTGCCAGCCACGAGTTTGACATGCTTGATGTAGAGTTAAACATCTCCAACCTCATGTCCTATGACTTCTGGACAAAGGAAACTTCTGCTTCATTCGAAGTCTCCTTGTCCCCTGATCATATCACATGTACTTCCTCTTACATCTTTGCTCACATTGTTTTCCCTCTCCAATTTTACCTCTCCCTTCCTCTTTTTAAAAAGTTCACTTTGCCCTAGCTGTTTGGGCTCAGTGGATAGAGTGTCGGCCTGTGGACTGAAGGGTCCTGGATTCGATTCCGATCAAAGGCACATGCCCAGGTTGCAGACTCGATCACCAGTAGGGAGGCATGCAGGAGGCAGCTAATCAATGATTCTCTCTCATCATTGATGTTTCTATCGCTCTCTCCCTCTCCCTTTCTCTCTGAAATCAATAAGAATCAATCAATAAATAATCTACCTTCTAAGACCCAGTTCAACTTCATGGGCAGCAGTTCTCAACCTGTGGGTCACAACCCCTTTGGGGGTCGAATGACCCTTTCACAGGGGTCGCCTAAGACCATCGGAAAACACATATATAATTACATATTGTTTTTGGGATTAATCACTATGCTTTAATTATGTTCAATTTGTAACAAAGACATTGGGGGTCACCACAAGATGAGGAACTGTATTAAAGGGTCGCGGCATTAGGAAGGTTGAGAACCACTGGTCTAGGGCCTCTTCCTTCAAGCATTCCCTTGCTCCTTCAGTCTACAAAGCTCTCTCCCTCCTCTTAACTTCTCTAGTACACAGTTTGTATAGCATTCCTATTTGGCACTTAGCATATACTATCAAATAATGGCTACATTATAGTTTTATATATCCTTTTATTGTTTTACAGCCTGGGCATCTAGCACAAGGCTTTTCGCAGAGTAGATATCCTATAAATGTTCATTAATATGAATACTAAGGATGAATCAAACACACCTACTCCCAACACAGTTCCCTAACACCTTCTCCAACAAACAGACACACTTTAAATCTATCATGTTCAACACCTTTAACCCTTTTTTTCTTCACAAATTAGTCTAAGCCTCTAACCTAAATTCAGATTACTCTTCCATTCCCACCCAGATTCCAGAAGACAAAGCCCAACACTCACAGTGAACTTTATTTGGATTTGTCTGTTTCCGACGGGACATGTTTCCCTGATCCAAGAGCTCTGGCCTTTCCCAGTTTCACAACTGGATATGTCACTACCTCCTTGCAGGGTGCTGACCTACAATGAAAAGGATATTGTTAGCACATGTCATTTTGCCTAGATATCATACAAAGTAACACATAAAAAGATTTTTAAAAATAGTTCTTAAGTATATCAAACTCACCAGTTATAAATAACTGAATTAAAGAAATTAATAAATCTCTGGCACATCAAGTTCCCACGAAGTTTAAGAAGGGACTCCTTTAAAGGATTTAGAAATTCCACTCTAAAACTACCTATGGAATCCAGACTACTATTACGCAATCGTGATCGGGATAAAAAAGGAAGCAAATAACACGGGCAATCAGCGTTAGTAGTGCCGTGGGCTCAAAGGAATAACCAACCCCCCGTGAACTGTAAAAGGAAGCAACGAAAGCTAAACAGGGTGGCAGCTCACATGCCCACTGGAAGTCCAGCCCTGCAGTCCTCCCCAACGGGAGCCTCCAGGTGTTACCTCCCCTGAAGGTGACAAAGGCATCATATCCCTGAGACAAGAAAACCTCTCGAAACAACACAGGAAACAGAGCCAGTGTTTAGCGATGCAGGCACAGCGCTGGGCACTGTGGATGACAGGGCACTGCAGCAAAAATCCGACTTCCAGTGCTGAAGATGGGCTCTCGCCAGAAGAGCCAGATGCCATGCACACTGCTGAGTACTAATTCAGCACCCCAATGGGGAACATCAACCTGGCCCTGCTCGCATGCTCTGGAGCGGGGGTCAAAGTTAGTAACTTTAGTGCCTCCTCTCAGGCCAGCCTCTACGTAGCAGAGATCAGTGGGAGAAACGACAAGAAAAGCTCCTCAAGTGAGCATGCTGCAGAGACATGCACCCGTTTCCCTGAAACAGGAGGGAACAGACATGTAAGCCCGGAGGTTCCTGGTTAGTTCTAAGACTTCCCCAGCAGTAAGTGTTGTTAGAGAGTCTGAAGTGAATTAGTGTTGGAAGCTGTGAAATCTTCTTTGAAAGATAAAGTGAAGAAACAGACTGATTAAAAAGAACTAGATTCCTTTTCCTGCCAAAGACAAGAATATGGATCTGGTCACCCTTTAAGTTTTCTCTCAGTTCCTGCCTTCTCAAAGTATATGCACAGTGAATGAGCAAAGATAAAATGGTAGCTTTTGCCTTAAGAGGCATTATGAGAGCCTACTCCTAGCTATACTCTGCACTCCAGAACTCCTCTATGTAGCTAGAAAGGGCCTCAGACCTGTAATCAGATCCTGCCTCCCCTTACCAAAAGAAGAAAGAAACCGCAAATGGCAAAGACAGGCCTCCACAGGAAGTGGCAAAGGAAGCAGCTTTCAGGCAGTCTTCTATCATATCTGCATATCAAACACAGTTCTTTTTCAGACCTTTAATTAAAAACCAAAAACAAACAAACAAAAACAAAACTCCAAATATACATAAAAGTCAATTTTAACTATTTAGAGCCGCGGTCGCCAACCTTTCGGACCTCACAGACCGCCAGTTTGCGACCACTGATTTAGAGGGCAGTGTGCTGAGGGCTAATGCTAATGGTATATGTTTTCCATTCTAAGTTTTGTGTAGATCATTTCTTTCTAATCCAGTAGTTATTTTATTCATGAAGGCAGTGAATGAATTTTACACTTTGGGTAATATGCACTTTTCCTGTTAAGTCTATGGAATCGGAAAGCAGAAAGCTGAATGAAATGCAGGTTGTCTCTCGTTTTTTGTTCTAACATTTGCAGAGCGACACCTACTCTATTGTAGAAGGAAAATATGAAATCTTAATGAATCTTTAAATTTTCCCTCCATCAAGATCAGAAATTGAAACTGTGAGATAAAGGCAATATTAAAGATCCTTCTGAAGGAAGACCAAATAACTTGAGCCAGGCTCTATTCCGATCATCTTGGTGAGGCAATAGTTCAATACTAAAGCTACAAGTCGGCCACAGATGAGCATCTGCTGAGCATCTGCGTAGATACATTGGCAATGTCCACTACATCTCATAATCCTCCTAGTGGCCAAATGGGGAACTGACCAGATGGTACCCAAAGGAACTTCACACCTGAGGGATTCTCAGGGAAAATTAAGCAAATGCTCTCCCTCCCTCAAAAAAAAAGAAAGCCTGTAGAGCAGCGGACTCTTGCAAATAAATAAATAAATAGATGGCACTGAGAGTGCATTCTTAACCACACAAGATCTCAGGGTTTTGTAGGCATTAAACGGTAATAAAATCCATAGACACGCTGGCCCTAAAGGTCACTCATTCAATTTTACTTTTAACACACTGCCTCAGTCCCCAAGCCCGAATCTGAAACCAACACACACACACACACAAAATGTAAACGGAGAACTGCCTGAACATCACCATCTCCAAGAAAACCGGGATAGGAAGAAAGGTAAACTGGTGAGATTCAAATCTACAAGGGATCCTATGTAAAAAAGGAAGGCAGCTTTGTCTGTCTGTAGAACGAGGTTCAAAGTCCTTGGGAGGGGAGTGTAGGGGGAGGGGGGGCGCAACGTCTCCCCTGAACACTGTCCCTGCTCTCCCACAAGTGTTAGGTTGCAGCTTCCAGGACGCACCACGGACTTGAGCAGAGAAAAAAAAACAAAAACGGGTGAAAGCCAAGCTTTAAGAAAAGAGGGGTGCACTCCCACCTCCAGCTCTGGTGCGGTTCCCACGGAGGAAAGTACACTCGTCTGAATCTCAGCGACCTGTATCTGCCAAAAAGGAGAGCACGAGAAAGCCGATCGCGTCGCCGCCTCACTTGGGTTCGGTGCGGGGCGTGTGCGCCATCCGCCGAGAGGGTCCCCCTGGCTTCTTGCAGTTCGGGCCGGGCGGACTCCCGGCAACCAGCCGCCGAAAGCCCGCAGACAGCACCGTCTTCTCCGCCGGCTAAATTTAGACGCCTTCCCGGGAGACGGCGACGCGGACCGATCCCCGGGTCTGCCCTCCCTCCCACGCCCATCCTCCCTCCCCCTGCGCCTCCCGCCTGTCAGACGCCGGGGCCGTCCCGGCTGCTCCCGGCCGAGCCCGACCCGGGCCCACGCGGGGCGGGCGGCTGCACCGGCGTCCCTCCCGCGCCAAAGGGGCGGAAGGAGGAGTGACCGCAGGGGAGCTGGCCGGGACCCGCCGCGTCCCGGGAAACCTGGGCAGGGGGCTGGGTCGGAGCCTGGGCTGCCCCCGCCCCCCAGGCCGGAGCGAGCCCCCGCTTCCCTCCCCAGACGCGGACAGACAAAAGACCGACGGCCGGTGACCCGCATCCTCAGCCCGGCCCCGGAGGGAAGGAGTCGGGGGTCTCTTTACCCGGCGCCTCGGCGCTGCGCAGCGCTCCGGGTCCCTGGGCCCCGCCTCCGGACAGACGGACCGCCGGACAATGGGCCCCGGGCTGCAGCTCGGGCTGGCCAGGCCGGGCTCTCCGGGACCGGGCCCCGGCAGGCGGAGGGCAGCTGCGGGCCAAGCCGAGGGCGGTGAGCCGAGGGGCGGCGCTGCAGACGGACAAAGCCAACGGCAGACAGACGGACGGAGGGGGAAAAGATGGCGACGCGGGCGGCGGGAGCGCGCTGCTCGCGCACCGCAGCGAGCGAGGCGCGTGCACGAGCCTCCCTCGCCCTCCCTCCCCCGCCCGCCTGGTCCCCTCTCCCCGCTCCAGGCGCGCGCCCGGGATGTGGGCGGGGCTTGGGGAGCGAGGGTCCCGGGAGGCGGGACTTGAGGGAGCATCCAATCCCAGGCGTCCGCGAGGGGCCTCGCCTCCAGCCCCGCGCCCCAGGGACTGCCCAGGCTCCCACCTTCCCAGGTCGCTCTCCAGCCCGATCAGCTCCTCTGCTGCCCAACCCCTCCCGGACCTGTAAACTCCACCCTGACTGTCAGCCCTGAACCTGGTTTCCTATCTCACCTTCAAGTTCAGCCACAAAACCCACATCCCTAACCACGGCTCCACCGCAGGCTCCCCCTGTCCTCAGCTCAACCTTAGTCACCCCGCAACCGAAACCCTCTTCCCTTCCGTTCCCCACACTTCAGGGTTTCTTCGGTTCCCAAGGGTCTTGGTGGGAGGGGCTGGGTCCAGCTGTCAAGACCTCGGAGAACAATCTTTAGTTGTTGGTTTTTTTTTAAGACATTTAAGTCTCCAACATGGTTCTCAAATAACAACAGTAGCTGTATAGCTAGGGGCATAGGATTAATTTGGAGCAGGGTAGCTTGTGGTATGGCACTGTTGCCACTTAAGGGACATTTGGGACAATTGAGAGTGGTTACTCACTTCCTGATAAAACACCTCCTTCCCCTGTCATCGTCCCTTTCTAGTTCCTCACGACTTTCCTTTCCTTCTTATTCTTGTAGATCTCCTGAGCCTGCCTCTGACATAGCTTACTTGGAGAAGTAGGGGATGCGGTGGGAAGAAAATGGGATCTGGTGTTAGAAGATCAGCTTTGAGTCCCACCCAGCTCTGTCACTGATGAGCCTGGTGACTTTGGGCAAGCCACTTTCCTATTCTGAACGTCTATTCCCTGAGATGTAAAATGGGTAATAATGTAATAACTCCTGATCTCTATTCTCATAGATTGTTGTGATGATTAAGTAAAGGAAACATATGAACTGTATATTCTGCAAATATTTTTTATGGTTACTGATCCCACGAAGACAGAGCTAATGAGGATGCTGACCCTTGATTGTAAGCAACAAGTCCTGGTATTTACATAAAGCGCTCTTGCAAAATGTCCTTCTCATCAATTTCCAATGAGATGATATCATTGTCTGCATCTTGTGATTAATGTGAGAGATGGCTGTGTTAAAGGATCTTGGTCCTTTACAATTCATTCATTCATTCTTCATTGTAGGTAGGAATTATTATTCTTTCACTTTGGTTAAGGAAACATTTCAGTTTCATTTAAATTTTAATTCCTAGGAAGCAAAAAAATGGAATATTCTCATCCAGCCAGCAAGTTCTTAAACAGTTTAATATAAGAATACAAGTTGGAATAAAACATTGGCTTTTATATTTAACAGTAATTCTTGGTGAGTTCAGACCGAGGGATACAAATATGGCTTTATTATGTACCTTTAAACTTGACATAGTTGATATTTTCTTTTTTAAATATATTTTTATTGATTTCAGAAAGGAAGGGAGAGAGGGAGAAAGGGAGAGAGAAACATTAATGCTGAGAGAATAATTGATTGGCTGCCTCCTGCCCCCCTCCCCTCACCACCAGAAACTGAGCCTGCAACCTGGGCACTTGTCCTGACCAGGAATCTAACCACAATCTACTAGTTCATAGGTCGGTGCTCAATCACTGAGCCACGCCCGGCCAGGCAGTTGATACTTTCAACATGAAAGTAGCTAGCAGGTAAATCATTACGAGAAAGCCTCCAGTGAAATGTCTTGGCTTCATCATTAAGTTATTATGTAAAGCTGGGCAGCTTGTTCCATCTCCTTGAGTTGCAAATAAAATGGGATCATAATAATGCTACTTTAATAACCTTCCTGTGCTCTAGAAATGCCTCAGGTGTTGTGATTCAGGGTTATAATGAAATAAGGGAAATTATTTAAAAAAAGAAATTAGTTTATTTTTCCTTTACTCTCCTCTAAACTTGTTTTGTACCTAAAGACTTTCATTAATCATGGATTTTTTTCAGCTTCATTTTTTTAAATTTTACTTTCCCAATCTACTCAGATAGTTATGCTATTATTTTGCCACTTTATATTAATTTTCCCTTTAAATATTTTCCTCATCTGTTTTATATTTATTGGCTTCTACAATAACCTTATGTTACAATAGTATTGGTAGGATAGCTTAAAGGACTTCATTAAAAATGTATTAAATATGATATAATTCATATACCATGGAATTTATGCTTTTTAAAAATATTTTTTTATTGATTTCAGAGAGGGGGAGAGAGAGAGAGAGAGAGAGAGAGAGAGAGAGAGAGAGAGAATATGAATGACAAAGAATCATTGATCGGCTGCCTCCTGCACACCCCCACACTGGAGATTGAGCCCACAACCTGGGCATGTGCCCTGACCAGGAACCTCCTGGTTCATAGGTTGATACTCAACCACTGAAACACACCAGCCGGGTGTAAAAGTGTGTAGAATTCAGTGGGTTTTAGTATATTCACAAGGTTGTGCAACATTACCAGTATCTAATTTTAAAATGTTTTCATCACCCCAAAAAGGAACTCCATAGACATTAACAGTTACTCTCCAATTCTTCCTCCCTCCCCCACCTCCAACCCCTGGCATCCATTAATGAAGTTTCTGTCTCTATGGATTTGTCTATTCTGGACATTTCACATAAATGGAATCATCCAATATGGGGCCTTTTGAGTCTGGTTCTTTTCACTTAGCATAATGTTTTTGAGTATCATCCATGTTATAGTATGTGTCAGTATCTCATCCCTTTCTATGGCCAAATAATAGCATTCCATTGTATGGATATACAGTACCACATTTTACTTCCATTCATCAGTTGATGGATACTTGTGTTGTTCCTACTTTTTGACTATTCTGAATAATATTGTTGTGAACATTTGTATATAATTTTATGTGAACATATGTTTTTAATTTTCTCGGGAGTGGAATTTTTTAATCATACGGTAACTCTATGTTTGACTTTTTAAGGAATTGCCAAACTGTTTTCCAGAGTGCCTGCATCATTTTATATACCTACCAACAATATACGAGAGGTCCAATTTCTCCATATCCTGGGCTACACTTGTTATTGTTTGTCTTTTTCATTATATCTCACTTAGTTTTGATTTGCATCTCCCTGGTAACTAACGATGTTGAACATCTCATGTGCTTTGACCATTTGGAGAAATGTCTATACAAATTCTATGCCCATTTTAAAATTGGGTTGTCTTTTTATTGTTGTTTTATAACAGTTGTTGTTTTTAATATTCTGGATATTAGACCCTTATAGGATGTGTTTGCAAAAATGTTCTTCTATTCTGTAGGCTGCCTTTTTTCTTTCTTGAGAGTGTCCTTGGGAGCACCAAAGTCTTTTATTTATATGAAATTCAATTGATATATTTTTTGGTTGCTTGTGATTTAGGTGTCATTTCTAAGAAATAGTCATGAAGATTTACATCAATGTTTCTTCTCAGATCCATTTTGAATTAACTTTGTATAAGTGTGAGGAAATACGGTACAACTTAATTCTTGTATGCGGATATATAGTTTTACCAGCACGATTTGTTGAACAGCCTACTCACGCCGCCCCCCGCCCCCCCCCCCCCCCCATTGAATTGTCTTGTTATCCTTGTCGAAATATCAATTGACCACAAATGTATGGGATTTATTTTTGGACTTTCAATTTTATTCCATTTACCTATATGTCTGTCGTGCCAATATCATAGTCTTGTTTGTTTATATGCTTGTTTTTGGACAGAAGAAGCTGTCTTTAATTGGGTGGCACAAGGTTTTTTTGTCATACAGTCTTGATAAGAACCTCATATTTTAAGGAGATAAACTTTTTTTGATTTTTTTCCCTTTATTGATTAAGATATTACAAAAGTGTCCTTATCCCCCCAATGTCCCCTCATCCCCCCAATCCTGCCCTCACCCTCACCCCCTGTTGTCCACATCCATCGCTTATGCTTATATGCATGCATACAAGTCCTTTGGTTGATTTCTCCCCCTCACCCCCACCCTCCCCTACCTTCCCTCTGAGTTTTGAGCATCTGATCGATGCTTCTCTGTCTCTACATCTGTTTTTGTTCATCTGTTTATGTTGTTCGTTATAATCCACAAATGAGTGAGAGCATGTGATATTTATCTTTCTCTGACTGGCTTATTTCACTTAGCATAATGCTCTCCAGCTCCACCCATGCTGTTGCAAATGGTAGGAGTTCCTTCCTTTTTACAGCAGCATAGTATTCCATTGTGTAGATGTGTCAAAGTTTTCTAATCCATTCATCTGCTGATGGGCACTTAGGCTGATTCCAGATCTTAGCTATTGTAAATTGTGCTGCTATGAAGATTGGGATGCCTATATCCTTTCTGATTGGTGTTTCTGGTTTCTTGGGATATATTCCTAGAAGTGGGATCACAGGGTCAAATGGGAGTTCCATTTTTAGTTTTTTGAGGAAACTCCATACTGTTCTCCACAGTGGCTGCACCAGTTTGCATTCCCACCAGCTGTGCACCAGTGTTCCTTTCTCTCTGCATCCTCCCCAGCATTTGTCATTTGTTGATGATAGCCATTCTGACAGGTGTGAGATGGTATCTCATTGTTGTTTTGATTTGCATCTCTCAGATGATTAGTGACTTTGAGTATGTTTTCATATGTCTTTTGGCTTTCTGAATGTCCTCTTTCAAAAAATGTCTATTTAGGTCCATTGCCCATTTTTTGATTGGGTTGTTTATCTTCCTTTTGTTAAGTTGTATGAGTTCCCTGTAAATGCTGGAGATTAAACCTTTATCAGAGATATCATTGGCAAATATGTTCTCCCATGCAGTGGGTTTTCTTGTTGTTTTGTTGATGATTTCTTTTGCTATGCAGAAGCTTTTTATTTTGATATAGTCCCATTTGTTTATTTTCCCTTTAGTTTCCATTAGGAGATAAACTTTTGAGTTTATATTTAAAATTTAGAATTTTGTTTTCATTCCTTTGAATTCATTTAAGGAAAAATCAAGTTTTCTAAGATGAAAAAAATGTGACATTAGCCGAAACTGGTTTGGCTCAGTGGATAGAGCGTCAGCCTGCAGACTGAAAGGTCCCAGGTTCGATTCCGGTTAAGGGTATGTACCTGGGTTGCGGGCACATCCCCAGTGGGAGATGTGCAGGAGGTGGCTGATCAATGTTTCTCTTTCATCAATGTTTCTGACTCTCTATCTCTCTCCCTTCCTCTCTGTGAAAAATCAATAAAATATATTTTTTAAAAAATGTGACTTTAAAACCCATATATGTGAACCCAAATCAGAATAACTGATTTAGCCCTAGCCGGTTTGACTCAGTGGATAGAGCATTGGCCTGCAGACTGAAGGGTTCCTGGTTCGATTCAGGTCAAGGGCACATGCCCAGGTTGCAGGCTCAGTCCCCAGTGTGGGGAGAGCAGGAGGCTGCCAATCAATGAATTTTATCTCATCATTGATGTTTCTATCTCTCTCTCCCACTCCCTTCCTCTCTGAAATCAATAAAAATATATTTAAAAAAGAATAACTAATTTAATGTGTTTTTCTTTTCATTCGTTGAGACACTCAATATATACAAATTGGAGGGAAACCAGGAGGCAAATTATTATGGAAATATGGATGTCAATCAAGTCTCAAGATCTGGGTTTAAGATTAGATCCTGGAATTTATACTATTGGCCTTGGACTGGTGACTTTACAGCTCTCAGCTCCACTTCCCTCCTCAAATAACTAAAATTTATTTCTGATCTACATCTGCTTCATAGGGATGTGTAAGCCTCAAATTAAGGTCATGTGTTTGTAAGTACCCTGTAAACTTCAATATGCCAGATATAGTTAATATTTGTATATGGCCCTCATTAGTAATGTTATCTGAAGAATCATTCCATAGATACTCTAAAAAATGCTCTTGATTTTTTATTTATTTTTTTATTTTTTTTAGGTCTTAGGAAGATAGATGTCCAGAGCGGTTCCTATTACGTTTTATATTCTTTAGCCTAAAAGCTCTCTGAGACTGTCCCCTTTTCTAAATGTTAGTACTTAAAAAAAAAAAAAAAGGCAAATTACTCTTTGCCCATCATCTTTCCCTTCTCTCTTACACAATGTGTAATACTTTCTTCTGTTGCAGGAGTCAGCAAATGCTTTCTGTAAAGTGCCAGACAGTAAATATTTTAGACTTTGTGGGCAACATAGGGTTTTGTCACATATCCCGTCCCAGCCTCCCTTTTCTTTTGCAACCCTTTAACATGTAAAAACCATTCTTAGTTGGAGGGGCTGTACAAAAACAGGCCTGACTGATTTTGTCTGCAGACCTGTTATGGACTCTTATTTTTCTGGGTTCAAGCAGGTTTTAGTTAGTTTCAGCCACTAGTGATAATAATTTTCACAAAAAAGTGTCACTGGTTAGTTAAACAAAGAAATGTGTGTTAAAAAAAAAAAAAGAAAAGAAATGTTGTGTGTTACTTTTTATCCTAAAGCAAAACAGGATTTTCAAGTGAAACAGTGTGAGTCAGTTTTTTGGGGTTTTTTTTGGCATATGTTTAGCATCGGAATAAAACTGGTCTGTTCAGCTAGGAACAGAGATACTGTTTTGAATTCACATTGATGTACTACAGAATCTAAATAATTAGAAAGAGCAGGACACAGGTGATGATTGCTGAATCCAAGCCACTGCTGGCAGGAAGAAATTTTTCTAAATGAATCATGTCATTTCTAGCAAGATAGGGCTCAAAGACACTTTTCGCTCATCTTTACTTTCATTGTTTGAACAAAGTGGCAGTAATGCCAAGGACTACAAAAGTTATCTAAACACAGTGTGCTACTGAGGGCATGGAAAAATAGGAACTCTCATACATTGGTGGTAGTGGTGTAAACTGATACTTCCTCTTTGAAGGGTGACTTGGCATTATCTGTTAACATTAAAAATATACCTACCCTTTGACCCAGTACTTCTGCTTCTGGGAATTTACTCAATAAGTACCATCCATGCAGGCAAATATCTAGTCATGGCAGCATTGCTTTTAGAGGCAAAAATATTGGAAATAACCTAAATGCCACCAATACAGCAATATGTACGTTTGGAATAATATATATTCCAAAAAAGTAATAATGGCATGGAGAGTGTGACATAGGTCTCTCATTTTATTGTACCCTAAATTAGTAAAAACACTAAACATATTTATACTTTCAAAAACCAAAATGAAGGTATTGAATTCAGTCCCTTTTATTCTCCTTTTAAATTAAATGAGGAATAGAATCAGAGTATAGTTATTGTTGGGACAATGGCTTAGTCTAGTAGTTTCTGGGAGAAAACTATCATGTCCCATGTTGATATATAACAGCCTAGTATACGTACACATACATGTAAACACACATGTACACACACTTTGTTTTCTTAAGTATTTGGAAGTAAGTTGCAGATACCATGACCCGTCCCTTCCACATAGTCCACCATGCATCTCAACTACATCATAACCATTACAACAATTGTCTCAAAAAAATACCTTTTAGTTAGTTTGAATCCATAGTTAACAGGATCCATACACATTACATTTGGTCGCTGTGTCTCTACGTCTCTAAATTCGAGCAGTTCGCCCTTTTATTTTTTTTTAATGCCATTATCTTACTGCAGACGGCTTCATTTATATATGCACGCATTTATTGCAAACCCCCCTCCCCCCCCCCCCCACACACATTTAAAAGGAACCAAACACCATGAATTTTCAGTGTCTGGAACCTGGTTTGGTTTAGAAATACTTTTAGTGTTATCAAGGCAATGCTTTCTAAATTCACGGAAACCGCACATGGTAACGCATCGTGTCATCGCTGTCACATGACCGCATCGCAATGTAGCGAACCCCAACCTCGGGGTCGGTAGAGGCCGCCTCTACAGCAGGGGGCAGGGGTGCCTCGTCCCCGAAGCCTGGAGTCCAGCAAGCCCCTTGCAACGCGAAGCCGAAAGAGAAGTTTTCAAGCTGAAAACAAAGGAAAACTAAATGAAAAAAGTGTCCTCTGAATCCAGAGATAAGGCAGATTCCCCGAGAATGTGGTGCTAGGGAAACAGACCACCGAAATGACACAGACGGTCGAGGTTCTGGTTGAAAGAGCGTTCAGATCTGGTTTAAAAGCGGGACCGGGGCAGCCGCGCGTAACCGGAGAGGTGGGTGGTGGGCGCCCCGGGAGGGGGAGGGCGAAGGGTCCAAACCGGCTCGGTTATTCCACTCGAAGAAAGAGCCGCCCTCAGCCCTGGCTGGTGTGGCTCAGCGGACAGAGTGTTGCCCTGCGAACTGGGTGGTCCCAGGTTCGATTCCGGTCCAAGGGCACATGCCCGGGTGGTGTGCTCGATCCCCAGTGGGGGACTTGTCGGAGGCAGCCGATCCATGATTCTCTCTCATCGTGGACGTTTAAAAAGAAAGAACCGCCCTCAGAGTGAGAGGAGTGGAGCGAGTGAAGGGAGTAAACATCAGGGAGTCACGTCGGTGGGTGAAAGGCGGGACTGAACCGGTTTTTCCAGGGAGCGGAACCATCCGGAACACGGTGCCGGCCGCGGTTCCCGGGACCGGCTCCCCCGCGCACAGGGCAAGACAGGAGGCACCCTCGGCGCGCCCCGCAGATGACTCAGGTGCTCGCTCAGGGGGCGTGACGGGACGCATCACTCCGCAGCCTCCGCCGCGGGAAGTAGTCCCCGGCCGCGCTGGTTCCTAAGGGAGCCGGGCGGGGAGTCCCGCTGTTCTCGGGCCGAGATCCCGGGAGCGCGGGCGCTCAGCCAATCGCTGGGAGGGAGAGCGCGTCAGCTCGGCCCGCGGATCCCTCCGCCGCGTTGGCTGTGCTGCGGCCGGCGGAGCCGCCATTTTGGATGCTGGACCTGGGTTCCGGAGCCCGTCTCTGCCGCGTTCCCGCCTGGTTTCGGTCCGGTGAGTCTGGCATCCTCTCCGCCGAGGGTCTTTGTTTTCCTCCCGGCGCCGCGGCCGGGATTTAGAAGTCCCCAGTCCCGGGTTCCAAGGGCCTTGACGTGGCAGGTGAGGAGAAAGGGGAGGGTAGTGGATGTCGGGGTGAGGCCGGAGGTCAGGCCCGAGCAGCTGCGGCGCGGGGCCGGGGTCTGGCCGGGGTCGCGAGCTGCTTGGGGAATCTTTGGCCCGGGATACTTGAAGCCGCCAGACTTTCGTGTTGTCCCTTTCTGTCCCTTGGCGTCTCTCCCCTGGGGCGGGGACGCCGCGGCCTGGGCTCCGGTGCCCGTCGGTGAAAGGGCTCGGTCTGCACTTTCCGGCACCGGAAAGCGGCGTTCCTACCCCACGTCCTCTGGCTCGGGAAGACCTCGGAAGGTTGTGTCTCTGGCCTCCTGGACTGGCGGGGCGGGGGGCGGGGGGGAAGAGTGGGGGCCCCTTTGGCTGGAGGAAACGGCGGCCCCGGCCCCCTCCGCAGAGCCCTGCGCGGTGATGGGAGACCCTGTGAGGAGCCCGTGGCCCAGCCCCGGCCCTCTCCGGTGTGTGTGTTCGGCGCTCCCCTTCCGGGGTGCTCGGCGCTCCCCTTCCGGGTGCTCGGGGCGAGGACTTGGAACTCGAGCCGCAGAAACTTTCCCAGGGAACGGGAGACGAGCCGCCCGCTTAATAATGAGGTAATAGGAGAGCCATTTCACTCTCGGTAGCAGTAACAACATTAAGAGCTGGTCTGCACTCTTACGGGGAATTGTAATTTCTCTGTTATGCTTACGTGTTTATTTTTAACTTTGTATTGCGAACAGTTCAGACAGACAGGAGTCAGGAGTGTAATGAATTCCCTCCTCCAGCTTCAGCAACAACCACAGTGATGGGCTGTTGGGGGAAAGCCCCAAACGTCCACATTCAGGATCGATTCCGAAGAACGGACCCGCAGGGGCTTATTCAGGTTCGCAGGAGCTTTGATAGGAGGAACCTACTGCTTGGGCAAAGCAGCCGTGTGTTCCCCGTGGGGGCCGCGGGGGCCGCAGCCACACCCTCCCGGGACAGGGTTTCTTTTGTATAGGTTTAATAGTAAAAGCGAGTGGTGGGTAAGTCACACGGGCCGCCGGGAAGAACTTGCATTTCTAAGTTAACGGGTTATGCCGGGCAGTTGCCCCCACTCTGTGCGCTCATCAGCCTCACCCCTGGGTGCTGAAGTTCGGGCGGCCCTCTGGCTTCCTGGGGGGTCAGCCAAGCCCGAGGCTGCAGAGAGGTAATCACCGAAGGGTAACCGAGAGTCCAGCATCCCCCAGACGCTGGAGCGCTATTGCATTTCTGAGTTAGTTCCCCTACAAGGGCCGATCTTGTTTCATTTATAAATACTGTTAAGTATTTAATAAGATAATTGTTGATATATGTACCTCCCCCCCACTTCCTCAGTAGAACCTTTTGATTTCTCTACTTACAAACCAAAAGCCCACAGGGATTTATATATATATATATATATATATATATATATATATATATATATATATAGAGAGAGAGAGAGAGACAGAGACACAGACACAGAGACACCTCAGAACCGCATCTTCTGGGATAGGACTTGGTATATTTGTTTTTTAAAAAAATGTATTTTTATTGATTTCAGAGAGGAAGGGAGAGGGAGAGAGATAGAAACATCCATGATGAGAGAGAATCATTGATTGACTGCCTCCTGCACATCCCCTACCCAGCACTGTGCCCTTGACCCAAATCGAACCCGGGACCCTTCAGTCCTCAGGCCAATGCTCTAGCCACTGAACCAAACCAGCTAGGGCAGTATTTCTATTTATTAGAGAATAAAGCGTGTTTTGAAGCCTCAATGTTAGTATTACATTTTATTTATTTTTATTTTTTTAAAAATATATTTTATTGATTTTTTACAGAGAGGAAGGGAGAGAGATAGAGAGTTAGAAACATCGATGAGAGAGAAACATCAATCAGCTGCCTCCTGCACATCTCCTACTGGGGATGTGTCCGCAACCCAGGTACATGGCCTTGACCGGAATCGAACCTGGGACCCTTCAGTCCGCAGGCCGACGCTCTATCCACTGAGCCAAACCGGTTTCGGCAGTATTACATTTTAAAGGCACCTGGTTTAAGCCCTCTCTTTTTTATTTTTATTTATTTTATTTTTTTTAAAAAATATATTTTATTGATTTTTTAAAGAGAGGAAAGGAGAGGGATAGAGAGCCAGAAACATCAATGAGAGAGAAACATTGATCAGCTGCCTCCTGCACGCCCCCCACTGGGGATGTGCCTGCAACCAAGGTACATGCCCTTGACCGGAATCGAACCCGGGACCCTTGAGTCCGCAGGCTGATGCTCTATCCACTGAGCCAAACCGGTTCCGGCAAGCCCTCTCTTTTTTAAAGTTGTGTGACTGATTTGTCCAAATTATTTGTTTTAATTCTTCCTGTCTTCCTGTGGCTCTGCCTTCTAAATGATCAGGAACTCCAGAAGCCCCTAGTGTACTTAATTTAAGCTCTCATTCTTGTAAAATCAGTCTCAATTACATGTAGCCTATTCTGATTTAAAAATGAAACTAGAAAATAGTATAGTCTAATAAAAATTTAAAATACAGGAAAAGTAGTAAGCACATGAAAACTAACTTCAGCATTTTATTTATAACATCAAAAGGTTGAGGAATTAAAAATGATTACGCAGTGGAATATAGGCAGTCATTAATAGGTTTTAAAGACTGTAAGAGATGTGATATTAAGTGGTAAAAGGATTCAGTGGTGCTTAGAGCCCATGATTGCAACTTTGTAAAAATTAGATTATGTAAGTTAATTGAATTTTTAAAAAATTTGTTTAAATTAAACTTCCTACTAATTAACAATAAATGAGTGACAGCTTTGTACTGAGTACCATGGTAGGCAGTGTGGGAATAACAGTGAAACCTGTAGTGATTGTATACAGTTGAAGTACTCCAATGTGGTTGAAAAAGGTTAATCAAAAAGTTAAAGTAGGGGAAGGATGCAAAGCATACCTAAAACATTTTATTTAGCCTAAAACACATAAAAGTGCATTTATCAGCTAATCTTTAGGTGATGAGCAAGAACTTTCCTTTGAGTATGGGTCTGTTGACTAAATAGAAATGAAATAGTGCTTGTGTACATATAACACTTTCTATGTACCAGGCACTGTTCTAAATTCTTTACAAATTTTCTTTAAATTCTCATACCAGCTTTATGAGTTATGAAGGTTCATATAATATTGATGGTATTTAAAAAAATGTTTGACAGAATTCCCTTAAATGTTTAATAGAGAAGCTACTGGGGCCTGGGTTTTCTTGTGGAATTTTTCTTTATTTTAGGTTCAATTTTTGTAATGTATATAGGACAAATTATATTTTTTATTTCTTTGTGTGAATTTTGGTAAATTGAGTTTCTAAGGGGTATGTCATTTTTGTCTTTGTTGAATTATAGATATAAATTGGTAATAATGTCCCCTTTTAATGCCTGTAGGATCTGTAGTAATATCCCTTTTTTACTTTGGATACTGGTAATTTGTGGGTTTGTGGGAGTTTTTGTCAGACTTATCAAAAATTTTGATTTTTCAAACATACAGCATTTGGTTTCATTGATTTTTCTCTATTTTTACTCTCCCATTTCATTAGTTTTTGCCTTGTTTGCTTGTTGTTGTTAATCCTCATCCAAGGATATTTTTCCATTTATTTTTTTCTGGAGGAACGGGTGGAGACAGAAAGAAACATGGATGTGAGAGAGACACAATTGGTTGCTTCCCACACATGCCCTGACCAGGGTCAGGGATCGAGCCTGCAACTGAGGTACAGGCCCTTGACTGGAATCAAACCCGGTACCCTTCAGTCAGTGGGCCAACACGATCCACTGAGCAAAATAGGCTGGGGTTTGCCTTGGTTTTATTTCTTTTGTTTGCATTAGGTTAATTTTGCTCTTTTTATGGTTCCTTATGGTGGACCTTAGGTTACTAATTTGAGACCCTCTTTTCTAATACAAACATTTAGTCTTGTAAATTTCTCCCCAAGCACTGCTTTAGCTAGATCTCACAAATTTTGATGTTTTATATATATAATTAAATATACTTTTTTATTGATTTCAGAGAGGAAGGGAGAGGGAGAGAGAGAGAAACCCAAGGGGATCAAGCCAGAAACCCAGGAATGTGCTCTGAACCAGCAATTGAACTGATTCATAGGTTAATGCTCAACCAGTGAGCAACACAGGCCTGGCAAATTTTGATGTTATATTTTAACTAGAGAACCCGTGTGCAGGTG